GGAGGGGGAGGAGGGGTGGAGGAGGAGGAGGAGGAGGAGGAGTGTTTTTGGCTACTCCCCGCAGGTGAAATCGCAGACTGGGAGAGACGCGCCGCGGAGAACGCACCGACGCACATGGCCAGAAGTCCTTGCGAAGATTATCGTTTCAGGCGAGCAGGTGTGCCCTCTCTTCCAAGTGCCGTATGCGAACGAGAAGTTGCTGAAGCTAGATTGGTTACACGTTGTTGATCTTGGAGTAGCGGCTGACTTCATAGGGGGTTTGCGATGGTATCTTGTAACGCACAAAAAGGTGGCTGGAACTACCCAGAAAGGCCGCGTCTCCACACTACATGGTCATTTGATGGCGTTCTACGACAGGCAGCCGCCAGGTGAGAAGACCAGCCGCCTATCGAGACTGACGCGGGGCGTTGTGAAAGGAAAAAAAGCAACGACGCTAAGATGAGATGCGGCGCGGGGATGCTCAGGCACATGGTTCCATGGGCATTGGAGATGGCGGAGGCTTTCCTTGATAGGAGGAATGGCGTCGACGAGCGGGCAGCTGTAGAATCGTCCATTCACGCAGGGATGAAAAGCTTATGTCGGTGTTACGAGGCACTCTCTGACAATCACCCATTTTCTGTGGACATTCTTAGAGAGCATTCGAGTAAGTTTGCCACGCAGACGGCCGCTTTGCAAGACGCGCTTCCTGCCCATTTTAAAGTGAAGCCTAAAATGCACATGTTTCTGGAGCTGTGCATGGGCGGCGGTGAACCAGCGAAGCACTGGAACTATAGGGATGAGGATTTCGGTGGATCTGTAGCTGCATTTGTCCGAAGGAGGGGCCAAAGGAGGTCCATGAGAGCGTTTTCGGTGGCATGCATCTCTAAGTTCTGCGGCCAGCCGATTGTGCGCATGCTTTGAAAAGAACGCTTCTGTGTGTATCGTTGTCATTCATTGCTGTCGGCTCAAATATATGTTGGACCCCTCCCAGTGGGGCGAGCGCGAGCATGGGCGCTGAAAAAAAAAAAAAATACAAAAAAAAAAAAAAAAAAAAAAAAAAAACAAAAAAAAGCAAAAGAAATAAAAAAAAAAAAAAACAAAAGAAAAAAAAAAACGAAAAAAAAAAAAAAAAAAAAAAAAAAAAAAAAAAAAGCAACAAAAAAGCCCCGTTTGCCCCAAACGCGGCGGGTCGAACTTTTTCGGCGCCGCCCGAACTTTAGTTCCGACCCGCAGAAAAGGACCCGCAGAAAAGTATAACCCCCGCATTATAGTTCGACCCCGCACTATAGATCGACCTTGGAGTCTCAAGGGGGTGTCCGGGTGTCCGGGTGCCCGGGTGTCCGGGTGCCCGGGTGTCCGGGTGCCTGGGTGTCCAGGCGTCCGGGTGTCCGGGTGTCCAGGTGTCCGGGTGCCCGGGCGTCTGGCTGTCCAGGTGTCCGGGCGCCCTGTTGCGAGGGCGATCAGGCTCCCTGATGCCCCAATGCGAAAGTGTATGTAGGCCCGGTTACAAAAATGAGTATAGAACACCAGAGAAAAGAAACAATCATATTTGTTGTTGCTATGGGGCTATAAGGCTATTGAGCTATGGGGCTGTATCGCAACATGGAAACATGGCTAATTATAGGGATATAGGGCTATTGGGCCATCGGGCTATAGGGATATTTGGCTATAGGGCTATAAGGTCTATAATGCTATAGGGCTGTAGGGCCAAAGGGCTAACGGGCTGTAGGTCTATGGGGGTATAGGGCCATAGGGCTATATGGCTAAATGGCTATAGCGCTATTTGCCTATGGGGCTATAGGACTCTAGCGCTATATGGCTAAAAGGTTATAGGGCTATCGAGCTATAGGGCTATGGGGCTGTAGGGCTAGGGCTATAGGGCTATAGGGCTGTAGGACTATGGGGCTATGGGGCTATAGGGCTATATGGTATAGGGCTATGGGGCTATACGGCTATAGGGCTATGGAGCTATAGGGCTAATGGGCTGTAGGGCTGTAGGGCTATAGGGCTGTAGAGGTATAGGGCTATGGGGCTCTAGGGATATAGGGCTATGGGGCAACAGGGCTGGCGGGCTATAGGGCTATAGGGCTACATAACTATAGGGCTATAGGGCTATAGGGCTACAGGGCTATAGGGCTATAGGGCTATACGGGCAAAGGGCTATAGGGCTACAGGGCTATCGGGCTATAAGTCTATATGGGCTATGTGCTATATGGCTATAGGGATATCGTGCTATAGGGCTATAAGGCTATAGGGCTATAAGGCTTGAGGGCTTTTGGGCTATAGGGCGATAGGGCTATAGGGCTGATTGGCTATTTGGCTATTGGGCTTATGGGCAAATTGGCCTAATGGGACCACTTGGGCTAATTGGATTGATGGGGCTATATGGCTATGGGGCTATAGAGCACCCCCGGGCATCTGGGCCTGGCCACCGAAATCGGCGGCCCGGCTCACCTAACCATAGGAATCCGCAAGGACCCCTGCGGAGGCAAGCTCTGATTGCGGAATATGTATACACGTATGAACGTAAATATGTGTATGTATGTATATATGTACACGTAGAGATACAGTGCAAGCCAAGACCGGGACGCACGACTGGGACAAATTCTGGAAAGATTGAGAGGATGTCGTCTCAGGCGAATGTGGCTGGGCCACCAGGGGGCAAGACATCATCGAGGTCAGAGTTGTGAGGATGTCTCTGGCGAACATGGCTAAACCGCCTCAGCTCAGGGCGTCTTGGAACCCAGAGTTGCGAGGATGTCTCATGAAGGAGTGGCCTGACCACCTGCTGAGGGCTTCTCGGAACCCAGAGTTGCGAGGGTCTCAAGCGAGAGAGGCCGAACCACCATGGAGCAGGGCATATGCGAGATCAGAGTTGCAAGGATGTCTCAGGCGACAGTGGACGGACCACCTAAACTCAGGGCATCTCGGAACCGAGACTTGCGAGGATGTCTCAGGCGAAAGTGGCCGGACCTCCATGGGGCAGGACATCATCGAGGTCAGTGTTGTGAGGATGTCTCTGGCGAAAACAGTTAAACCAGCTCAGCCCAGGGCGTCTCAAAACCCAGAGTCGCGAAGATGTTTCAAGCGAAAATGGCCAGGCCACCATGGGGCAGGGCGTCTTCAAGGTCAGAGTTGCGACGATGTCTGAGGCGACAGTGGCCTGACCACCTGCTCAGGGCATCTCGGAATCCAGAGTTGCGAGGGTCTCAGGCTAGACAGGCCGAGCCACCATGGGGGAGAGCATATCCGAGATCAGAGTTGCGAGAATGTCTCTGGCGACAGTGGCCTGACCACCTGAGCCCAAAGCATATCGGAATCGAGACTTGCGAGGATGTCTCAGGCGACAGTGGCCGGACCACCATGGGGCAGGAGATCTCTGAGGTCAGAGTTGCGAGGATGTCTCTGGCGGAAATGGTCTGACCACCTCAGCTCAGGGCGTCTCGGAACCCAGAGTTGCGAGGATGTCTCCGGCGAAAGTGGCCGAAACACCATGGGGCAGGGCATCTCCGAGGTCAGAGTTGCGACGATGTCTCAGGCGACATTGGCCAGATCACCTCATGTCAAAGCATATCGGACTCCAGAGCGCCGACGATGTCTCACGCGGAGCCAGCCGAAACACTTCGAGACCCGCATTTGCGAACCCAGAGTGGTGAGGATGTCCGAGGCGAGGGTGCCCAGATCATCTCAACTCGCGACATCTCTGAACCCAGACTTCCGAGGATGTCTCACGCGAAACGGGCCTCCTCCTCCTCATCCTCCTCCTCCTCCTGCTCCTCGCCCTCGCCTTCTCCCTGGATGCTGTTCGCCGGCATGCAGCCCGAGATGCGGGTTGCGAACGCCTGCTGCTCCCCGTCCTCCTCCATGTCCTCCTCCCACTCCTCCTCCTCCCCCGCCGCCCTCCCCTTGCGTCAAATTCCACCCCCGGCTCCTCGCTCTCCTCCTCCTCCTCCTCCTCCTCCTCCTCCTCCTCCTCCTCCTCCTCCTCCTCCTCCTCCTCCTTTAGAAGCACGGGATCCTAGCAAAGCCAGGATCCACCAGAGATGGTTTTGAGATGGTCGCCCGCTGGTGGCTCTGAGAGCCCCTGGTGGGCCCAAAGGTCGCCCAGCCAAAGGTTCCTCCCACGAGGGTGGCACACAAGATCAACACCTCGGTGGCCTGATTTGTTTCGCGGGAGCGTTGATCGACATTCCTGCCTCCCCACAGCCCCGACGAAACCCGCGGGGTACAAAACTCGACGAACTCCACATATGCATGATTTCTGTTATTGCCCCCGCGCGTTGTTTCAAGGCGTGCCCCCAATAAATCGAAACGCCCCTTTATCATCCCTGAGGATCGTCCCGCATCGGTCGGAATGCGCGAAATGGGAACATGGACTTACGAGGAGGGAAACTGGACGGGAGGGTGTATAATAGCAGCATCATTGGTGCAAGGACGGTGGTGATGGTGACGAGGATGATGCAAGTGACTATACTAGCATCAGGCGTGAAAGGAACAGCTAGCATCAAGTGTTACGACCCAGACACACGGAAAATGGACGGGAGGGTGTATAGCAGCATACTTATGATGGCACTTATGATGGTGACGGTGATGATGGTGACTATGACGGTGATGATTGTGATTATGATGTTGATGGTGTCTTGGATGATGCTGACGGTGATGATGGTGACGATGATGGTGATGATGTTGATGGTGATCATGGCGGTGATGGTGATGATGGTGACTATCATGGTGATGTTGGTGGTGGTGATGGTAAAACTGATGATGATGGCGATGGTGATGCTAGTGACTGGGATGGTGGTGGTAGTGGCTATGCTGGTGATGTACGTGGCGATGGCGATGATGATGACCTATGGTAAGGTATATCATGTTTCCCGACCTGTGCCCTCATGGTGGGTTGCCGACCATGGGCACCAACGTGTTAAGTTTCACGCCGACGCGTGAAAAGTCATCGGCCGCACTCCCACGGCAGCCTGAAACCAACTTATAACACCTGCAATGATGAACTCCTGGCTGGGAGCTCACGCGCGCATGAACTCCAGCGCCTTGGCCTTGATGACCTCGTGGAGCTCGAGCTTCACGGCGCCCTCGGCCAGCGTGCCGCTCGCCTTGGTCAGCTCCTCGTCGACGCGCGCCTGCCTCTGCGCAAGGCCCGTCTTGTTGTCGCGGTGGATGTTGTGCATGATCTTGCACTCGCTGAGGGTCGTGTCGATGCAGCGGGCGCCCTCCTCGATCCTCTGCACCGCTGCAGTGAAGAACTCGTCGGCGCCTAGATCGACGAACAGCTTCTGTGCCTCCTTCTTGTACTCGTTGACGCTGTCGATGGCCTTCGTGCGCAGCGACGTCAACCTCTTGCTCGTACCCCTCTGCGCGACGGAGAACACGGCCCCCTCGGCCTTCTCGAGGATCTGCTCCCAGGTCAGCTCCCCGAACGACGCTGGGTCACCCTTGTAGTTCGCGCCGTCGGTCATGCCTCCTGATGGGGGGGGGGGCGACTATACACATAACCAATGCAGCCCTCCCGCCTTCCCCATCCAGCCCAAAGCTTGAGCTGGATGAAGGTGGCGACGAGGAACACATCCGTTATTGCACATTCGCTGCCTCCCCCGATCCTTTCTGAGCGTCCACGGAGTCCGCCATCTTGCCGAGCTGCGCCGTCACCTCGGCCATCCCCGCGCGCTTGAAGTCCTCCAGCATCTTCCCGATGGTGGCGAAGAGGTCTGCGGGCGTCGACTCCATGAGGAAGAACTCGGCGTACTTCGTCTGGACCCCGACGTCGGACCAAGAAGCGGAACCGTCGAGCGTCAGTTTCTCCTTCCAGCGCTCGCGGCCGCTCTCCAGATACACCGCGTGCAAGGCCTGGAATGCATCGAAGCCGTTGTCGCTGACTACCTGCTGCTCCGCGGTCTCGCCCTCTGCGAGGAGATCGATGGCCATCGCGATCGTGTTCAGCTTGTCGGAGAGGAGGTCCGCCAACGCCGTATTGTATGTGTCTGGCCACCCTTCGTCGGCGACGAACGTCTTGACCCTGGTGCTCATGAGGGTGAGCTGCTCCTTGTGAAGCTTGATGTCCATGGCCCACTCGGGAGAGACCGAGACCTGTTCTGAGTACTTGCTAATGCTCGCCATGGCAGCCGTGTTCACCGTTACCATGGCATGGCGAACTGTCTCGATGTGGTCCGCGTCGGTGAAGTGGAGCTGCCTCTGGTAGATCGTCTTCTTGAGAGCGTTCGTGTTATCGACGGTCGGGGCAGAGGCGAACCTCCGCAAAGCCAGCACAGCTTGCTTGGAACCGTCGACCTGCTTCATGTCTTCGTATTTTGCCAAGGAGATGCTGCGCAGCACGTCGATCCTTTCTTTCAGACTCGAGCACTCCTCAAAGCTAGTCGAGTTGCACAGCTCCTCGATGAAGCGGTCGACGTCGCCCATCTCCTTAACTTCGAGCTCCTCGACGGCGATGCGGGTACGGAGCCACGTGTTTATGGTATCCAGCAGCTTGGCCCACGCCACGTCGCAAGCGGTCGGCCTGCACAGCTTCGCAATGCGTGTCAACTCAGCCACGTTGCCCTTGAAGAACTCCTGCTTGTCCCCACTCGGAATGTCATCAAGCGTTTTCATCAGGTGGACAACCTTGGGAGCGAGGTCGAACTCGTCCGCCCTGTGTCTCATAAAAAGTGCCAGCGCTGGAGCCCAGAACTTGTTGTCCTCGATGTCCTGCTTGGCGGTCTGCCAGCACTTGTCCAAACTCCCATCCAAGAACTTCTTCACAATCAGGCTGTCCAAGTTCACAAGCTTGTCGACCCCTGGCGCGCCAAGTGACCCCAGAAGGCGCAGGATGGTAATCAACTCCAGGGCACAGTTCTTGAGAATGTCGTAATCCTGTGGCGTGCCTGCATACTTGTCGACGGTCGCGTCTTCCAAGATGTGTTCCATATCGTCGACTAACTTCGCATTGAGATACCTCCCCGACTGGCCTTGCTTGACCAAGGGCATCACGACGTACTCCGAGGCCACCGCCCGAAACCTGGCGACGAAGGCAGCTGGCTCAGGTGTAGGGATATCCCGCAGGCGAGGGTTCAGGCAATCGAAGTTGGAGCCGCCGCCGTCGCCATCCAAATCGTCAGCGAAATCCTCTAGGCCATCAATGCTGAAAGGCATGATCGCATCAGCGATGTCATCCGTGACGCTGGCGCTCTTGACTCGTAGTTGGACCAGCTTCACCGCGTAGGCTGGCGGGAATACCATCCCCTTCTTCTTGAGCTCACCCAGGGTCTTGAACAAGACGCCCTTTTCCACGGATCCTGGGTTCACAATCTTGTATGCTTGCTCGTACTTGAGCCTGGCGCGCCGAACGTTCGAGATGCAAGAGTCGACCTTCGCCGAGTCCTCGAAACGCGTTGCTGCATAGACGTCGGAGCCGTTGTACTTACCCTGGAGAACCTGGCCAGCATCCAATCGGTTGATGAGGTCGATCGCCTTCTCCTGGTCCGTGAGGTTCCGCTTATACCTCTTGTTGCCGCCCGCTGTGGTCGCGGCGCCATCGCTCACCACGCTCTTGGTGTCGCAGGGGCTCTGGTACAACTCAGTCATCGATCCTCCTGACCTCGCCCCCCCTGGCGCCTGCCTCAGAAGCTCAGGCGATCCCGCGTGCATGCCCAGTAACGGAGGAGCTTCTGCGGCGGCGTCGTCAGGATGCACAGAGCCTGCACCTGCGTCGGGGGCCCGCGCGCCCGTCGCAGCAGGCGAGGCCGCACCTTGGCCAGACGCGGCATTGGCCTCCAAGAGTCCACGGCTACCAGCAGGAGGCTCTGCAGAGACACCATCTTGATCTCCGCGCGGCTGCCCGCTGCCTTTGGCGCCCACACCGTCGTCTCCAGGGGCAGTCATACCCAGGGCCTTCTTCTTCAAGAACTCCAGGGTCGGGGGGAACTTGTTCCCGCGAAGGCTCACGGGCAGGGACTCGGTGAGGAGCTTGCGGACTTTGTCGAACATCGTCGCAGGCTGATTTGCCGCCACCCGCTTCTGAGGACTCATGTTGACGATCTGGTCTTCCAGCTCCACCTTGCACCACATCTTAACCTGCAAGAAGGGCCCGCTGTCGTCTTTAGTGATGACCATGTCGTTCATCTGCCCCCCAGTGAACGGACTCGGGATGGTGCCCGTCTTCTCGCCCAGAGCCTCGAGGTCCAGGCCCTTCGTGTCGGTGGACATCATGTCGCTCTCCTTCTTGGCAGTGAAGTTCGCAATGACTGTGTAGCCCAACCTCTTGTGCGCAATGATGCTCTGCGTCGGGAAAGACCTCTCGTCGGGGTCCGTGTCAGCCACCTTGATCAGCTTCTCGAAGGTCTCGTCGAACTCTTTGTCAGCGCTGCACTGGCCGCAAACCTGGACGAAGCTCACGCCCAGGGCGTGAAAGTGCGGCATGGGGGAATAGCACTGGTCGCACGCATTGACCGAGAGGGGCACCGTCTCGGGCACAGACTTAGCCTTGCACCTCTGGCACGTGCACGGCGCACCAGGCTTGCGCAAGGCATCGCCCAGGTCAGGGTTTCGCATCTCACCGATGGTCGGGGGGGCCGAGCCGCCTGGGAGGTGGAAGAGGCCGCCGATGTCCTGGTCGGCACCGCCTGCATCAGCAGCCTCCCTGGCTTTCCTTCCACGCCCGCGACCATGCCCACCACTGCGGGCGGCCTTCTTGGGCACGGGCTCTTCGTCAGCAGGACCATCGCCTCTCGGAGCACGCTTGCGGGACGCCATCGCCCTGCCAGCCACGCGCAAGTGAAGTGCAATGGCCAGAACAGAAGTGATGAATTGAGGACTGCAACTCAGTCCCTGAACCAAAGCGGCGACGACGGAGGGACGATGGGGCCGACGACCTTCCCTGTTGGTCTCTGTCGTTGCTTCGGGGTTTGGCCTGGACCAGACACGTTCATCGTACATGTAGGTAGCGCGGGACAGACAACGCACAGCCATGGATCCCAGATGCTCCTCGAGGTATGCCAGGGCTTCAGAAGAAGGCAAGGTCACGGACGCATCCATTGAATCACGCGGCGTGGCCGCGTGTTGAGGCGAGACCGTGTGGGAAATTACTTACTACGCCCAACGCGCCACAACTGCGCGTCTGCCGAACGATCCACTGCAACCCCGATCGATTGCAAAGGCCACGGTCGCTCCGGTAAGTTCAGAGGTTCGGGGCACGCGGCCGCTCGGGCAAGGTCAACATTGATTTTTAGTTTTTTTAAAAAAAAAAAAATGTTCGGTACGGTACTCTGGACCCTTGCATGAGCGTCCACTTTCCTGTCGGCAAGAGCCCCAGGGATCCCAGGATACCTCGACGGCGGTGCCGCTCCCCAGAAACAAATACACCGAAAGAGCACCAAGCCACGCAACCATATGAAGTACTTATGGTTATGCTGCGCTTTCATGCTTCGACGCCAACGGCGGACAGGCGAAGCCGAACTTTGAATACAGAAATCAAGAAGATGGGGCCCCCGACCGAAAACCCCCCAAACGGAACGCCAGACCAGAGCCGACGTCCGCACGTGGCGACGAGGCAACCACACGCCCAAGGTCGACCTGAAAACGCCACCACCACGCAAGGTGGCCCTCGACGCTGGTCCAGAGAAGGCTTGGCACAGAGGAGCAAACGCTGGCGAGGCCGCGGCCTTGGTCGAAGGTCGCCGTCGGCTGGTGGCCAGAGACCACGTCGGTGCTGCCCAGGAGGGCATCTGCTGAAGTGGGCATTCGCTCGCGACCGCTCGTCGGCAGAGCTCGAAACTCCCGTCCTCCCAGAAATTGGCCCCGATGGGGGTCTCCATATCGCTGCTGTCTGGCTACAGATGTTTATGACGCTTGCTTTGGTAAGGTCCACATATTGCTGTTGGTCGCTTGCGTTGCCGACGCATGGGGGTTTCCAGAAACGAATGATTCGCGAAGCGTCATATCTACTTGATGGGAAGGCCCTACCTACTTGTGAGAGGCTCCTATTGACTTTTTGGGAGGGTCCTACCTACTTTGGTGAGGATTTTTTGTACTTTTGGGAGTGTCCTATCTACTAATGGGATGGTCATATCTACTTTTTGGAAGGGTTTTATCTACTTTGGGGGCGGTCCTGTCTACTTGTTTGGGGGGGCACATGTACTTTTGGGAGGGTCCTATCTACTTGCGATGGGGGGTCCTATATACTTCTTGGGAGGGGCCTATCTGATTTGGTGCGGGTCCTATCTACTTCTGGGAGGGTCCTATCTACTTGATGGGAGGGTCCTATACACTTCTTGGCATGGTCTGTCTGCTTTTGGGAGGGCCCTATCTACTTGCTGAGAGGGCCCTACCTACTTTGGGAGGGTCTTATCTACTTTTGGGGAAGGTCCTATCTACTTGCGGGAAGGTACTACCTACTTTGGGTTGGGTCCGATGTGCCTTTGAGAGGGTCCTATCTACTTGTTGGGAGGGCCCTGTCTATTTGTTGGGA